AAACATAAAAAAGTTTAAAAAATTCCAATGTGAAAATATTGTTATTGCTTTATTTTTGTATATGCTATATTTATGGCTGTGTGCTCGTTCTTCATCCATATTCTGATGACAAACGAGCACACATCCATCTGATGGTAAGGCGATGCTGTGGCATATAGACATCTACACTTATCCTCGATTAAGAATCAAAACAAAGGTATGGACCTTTCATCATATTGCGCTAAAATTTTGTCAACTTATTGCTTTACACACAGTAACATAGTACAGTTAACTTATAGTAGCAACGTACAGATTTTTCATACGTGGTAGAGCCATGCTACAGCTATATTAATAGTATAGTTGTACCACGAATGGGTCGGCTCGACCGGGGCAGGACCACGCTCTCACAGAATACCAGCGTAAAATAGCAGCTTAACACTGCGTGTTTCGTATGGTGAGTGTACAGAAACAGAGACCCTTTTATTGGAAAAAGAGGCATTCCATCTTAGTCCTCGCGGGTGATAATGCATCTGCATTTTGATTCTTTATTGAGGATAGAAGTAGATGTCTATTGGTCACAGCAACCACTTACAATTAGGTGGACGGGTGTGCTCGTTTGTCACCCTATCCAATAAAAAAAATGTAGGTGGCGCGTGTATTGTACCGACCAATTTATTTGAAAGTCATATATTTCATTCAATTTCAATGAAAGTATTATCATTCTTAATGACTCTTTCTATCTATCTACGACTTTTTCTGCCACCAGGGCGGTGCCACTTAAAAGTGAAGTATAATATCTGACAGATTTCATAGCGGGGAAGTTAATTTATTCGGAAAAATTAAAGGTTAATATTTCTTTCTGTACTTTTAGTAATATCTTATATTAATAAGATTAAAAATAAATAAACCAAACCACAGATATTCATAAAAGTAGAAAAATTTTAAAAAAAGTTAAAAATGTGCAAAAAGTTGAGGAGCAAACCACTGAGGCATTGTTTTGTGTAGATACTAATATAATACTCTAGAAACTGATAAACTTTTATTTAAAACTAACTTCTCAATTAAATGACACACTGCGTAACAAAAAACTTTACCTCAATGTCAGCTATAAGCCTTCCAAATTTAAAACGACATTTCCATAATTATTTTTTCTGCAGCAGCAACGCGCCGTGTACCAGCTAGTACATAATAAAAATTTTAATTGCATGTGTCTGTACATTATATATTTTTGTGTCAAAATAATTTAGAGAGAGACTAATAGCAAGTAATTAAATACCGCAAGGACGGGGTAAACATAATAATTTTAATCATTTTTAAAACTGTTTAAAAAGAAACGTTCAGAAAATCATGAAGTGTATTTTTGAGTAACAGTTAGTGTTTAAATATCTTTACAAGTACGGATACTTATTAATGAATTACATTATATTATTGTTTATAAAGAAATTCTTATTATGTTTATGAAGACCGAATGGTGAAGAAAATATATAGCGCGAAAGTTAATATTAAAAGGTGTCGAGGTAGACCGAGACTAACTTTCGAAGACCATGTGAGCAAATTGCTCGAAGAGGGTAGGGTCAAGAGTACTCGGATACCTAGACGTGCATGCATGAAGAAGATAATGAATCTGAAAGAAGCGAAAGAGGTTTGTAAGGATCGTGACACTTGGCGATCTGTTCTTTCTGGCTACCCCGTCAGGGATTGTGCGTGAAGATAAGTTAAGTTATAAAAACAATAGCAAGCATAACTGTTAAGTAAACAGGAACACAGAATTTATCGGATGAATATACATACAATCACCAGCTTTGTCCGGTTAATTAATTTGCTGAGGTTTGAGTGCCCGCGATAAAAATTGTAGGTGTCACTTACACCGGAAACCGTTAGTGTTGTAATGTAAACTAGCTGCTGCTTCGCTTGATAAAAGTTTTTTTTTTTAATCTTTATTTAAGAGCTTAATCAAAATGCGATTATGTCGTTCTGTTTGACATTATTTAGAACTAAATAACATTCAAATTTAACAAGCAAACAAAAATGAAAAAGTACTACGTATCTAATTGACTGATCTGAGGAAAATATTATATGTTATATAATTTAGGCAATAATTTTGTTTCATCGGAATGAGGATTTATAAAAGGTACGTACATATATTTTGTTATTTGCAACACAGGCATTCCTAAATTATCTATGTCACAAATCTTCCATCAGATTCTATACATCGAGTTTTCGAAATTCGAAAAACGAACGATTATGTTTTAGTAGCACAACAAGTAGAGTCGCAGTACTGCCACGTATTAGGGTTACCATATCTCAGGATTTGTCCTGAGAGTTTAGGATTTTTAGACTCTTCTCAGGATTGCGGCTGGATTTTGCAAATCTCATGAAATCTCAGGACTTTTAGAACTTTCAATATAATACAGCTTACATTTTAAAGATCTCTTTAATAAAAAGTTAAACAAACTAAAAATAATAATAATTCCACAATTAAAATCAAAACTTATTTATCCAAGTAGGTACTTAAACAGTTTTATCATACTTAATATGTGAAGATACCTTTTTAAATAAGGTTTTCTTGTCAAACTGTAAAAAATTCTCAGGACGTTTAAATGGAAATCAGGCCTCTTCTCCGGACTTTTAATTTTTTCATCTGGTAACCCTACACGTATACGTTGTAGAGCCACGCTGCAGCTACATTATGGTTGTAGCGCGAATGGGCCGATTCAGTTATCCTTTCATGAAAAGAAAAAAAGCTAGGTCGTCTTTCATATTGTATAGACAAGTCACTGCAAGTTACGTGTTACGCGCCACTTCAATGCGTCACTAGTAGCGAGCTGAATGGCACGTCAGGTCATGCAGCATCACGCCACGAGGCGAGTGACAAGTTACGCGTCAAATCACGCGTCAGATCACGCGTTACGTTACTTAGGTGGGCTCCGTGCTTTAGGCTCTGAGTCTCTGACTCTGGCTCTGAGCACGCTCTCACAAAATACAGCGTAAAATAGCAGCTTAATGCTGCTTTGCTTCGTATGGTGAGTGTAGAGAACCGGAGACCCTTTTTACCGGAAACGAGGCATTACATCTCAGTTCTCAGGAATGGTGCCAGGTGGACTATGTGCACGTTTTTCACCGAATATACCTCACAGAATACCAGTAAAAAATAGAAGTTTAAAAAAGGAAGGAATTAGTTTCCAGCACCTGTTTTTCCATCCAATTAAAATGTGGGTGTCTTCAAGGCAAGAGTGAATAGGCTTTTGTTGAGTCAGTGCGCTTCACCGTCCCCGGCCGCACCACATCGCAGGATAGTAGTCAAGCGCTGGTTTAGAATAGAAAAAAAGCTTAATGATGCACTGCTTCGTTAGGTGAATGACGAGAATGGAAGGCCTTTACTATTGCTAATGAGGCATTCCATCATAGTCCTCAGGAGTGAGAGCGTATCCGGATATGTTCCGGATTTAAATTTTTAATCGAGGATTGAGATAGGTGTCGGTCTTTTTGGTGGACTTTCTGGTTATTTCCCATGCTTACACTTACTTGTATGAAAATATTATTGCTGGGTAGGATAGTTATCTCCTTGTTCGTAATAGATGACAGGTGATAGGGATATCATCACTATCATTCGGGTAGTTCAACAGCTAAAGGACATTGTTCACGACAAAGACTCTTCTTTAAAACGGAGACTCAATAAACCATATCTACTTGTACAAATAAATAAAATTGAACAGACACTTCAATTTTACACACCTGATGGTAAGTGGTTGCTGTGACTCATAGACATCTACATTTATCTATAGAAATAAATAAAATTGAAGTGTCTGTTTGTAATGTCATAATTATAGTTTTTTACTAAATGCATATGAAAGTAAATATGGTACTTATAACTAAAATACAATTTTTAAAATGTTTGTCTGTCTGTCTGTTTGTTCCAGCTAGTCTCCGAAACGGCTGGACCGATTTTAACGGTACTTTCACTGGCAGATAGCTGATTTCATAAGGAGTAACTGAGGCTATCTTTATTTTAGAAAAATAATTAGGGTTCCGCGCAAAAACATAAAAACCCTAACACGCGAGCGAAGTCGCGGGGCACCAGCTAGTTTTGTAATAAGACCGAATGATTATATTCTGCTGTTCACACTTTTATTGGCAGTGTATAAACATGACAATTTAAGCAGTTGTAGTACTGTGCACATTCTCAGCGATTAAAGCTACTATTTGAAATGTCTACAAGAATGCTGTCTAGTTGTAGGTAGTTGATGTTCATAAATAGTTAGAGTGAGGTTAAACGTAATAAATGGTTTATTTTTGTACCAATACTGTATTTGTATTAAAAAGTTTTTAGGACAGCTTTTTAGAAGTGTCTTAAAATTTAGTTAAATTTTTAGTTAATAGGTTAGTCATGATTATAATTATAATTTTAAAAATCTTTATAATAATTATAATTTATCTGGCTATAAAAAAAAACATGAAATTTTTTTTATATGATAGGGTGACAAACGAGCACACAGTCCACCTGATGGTAAGTGGTTACTGTGACCCATAGACATCTACATCTATTCTCAATAAAGACTCAAGATGCAGATGCGTTGTCACCCGTGAGGACTCAGATGGAATGCCTCTTTGCCAGTAAAAAGGGTCTCCGGTTCTCTACACTCACCATACGAAACACAGCAGCGTTAAGCTGCTATTTTACGCTGATTTTCTGTGAGAGCGTGGTCCTTCCCCGGTCGAGCCGACCCATTCGTGCTACAACTATACTACTAATATAGCTGCAGAATGGCTCTACCACGTAATTATACTATGTTCTCATGATTAATTAATTCATTTATTTATTACTCCTCCATAGACCATAGACAGTTTTATTGAATTGTTATAAAGATGCTGTTCCCCATCTCCTCTTTCAGTTTCCCTCTGTCGTCGCTTATGTCACCATGATATGGGGTAGTGGGTTTTCATACATTTTCTAAAGAAATATTTTTGTTGAAATCCCTTTAAAAGTGTGATACAACCAACTATCGTATATTTCATTTCAGCTGGTAGTCCGACGTCGTGGCAGGCGCGGTGTTTACGCGCAGCGATGTACCCCGGTGTCTCTGGACGCGTACAGCCTAGACAGCGTCAGTGTGGGCCACAGGAAAGGCAACCATCGCCTGCGTGCCAGCAAGAGAAGCTACGGCAACCCGGCTTATGATGACGAGGTAAAATGGATTTTGTCTCCATAATAGTTTGGCTGATTCGTTATTCCATCGGATCACGTTTTCCTCATGAAGTTTTTCTTTAATGCACTCGATAAATCAGTACTTAAAATTGCAATTAACAATTTCATTGGTCCAGCACCATTTTTTTTATTCATAAATAAAGGGCTTTGTCGCTGATACGATTATGCCGCCCTGGTAGTTACAAAAAAATTAATAATATTTAAAGTTGGTTAAAATTACTTTGCGTACATTCGCTCGATATCTTTACAAATAAACAAATAAAAAAAAAACTGTTTGTAATGTCAAAATAACAGCTTTTTACTAATTGCATATGAAAGTACGAGTATATACGGTACTTATAACAAAAACACAATTTCGAAAATTTTTGTCTGTCAGCCTGTCTGTTTTTTCCGGCTAATCTCAGAAACGGCTGGACTGATTTTAACGGGACTTTCACTGTTAGATAGCTCATGTTACAAGTAGTAACTTAGGTTACTTATATTTTTTTTTTAAATTAAGGTTCCGCGCAACAAAACTAAAACCCTAAATTACACGCGGGCGAAGTCGCGGGGAACAGCTAGTATTACAATATTATGGATTTCCGCAAAGTAACCTATGATTCTATACTCTATTCAATACATAAAATAAAATTGAAGTGTCTGTTTATAATGTCAAAATAACAGCTGTTTATGAAAGTATATAAGTACTCGTACGGTACTTATAACAAAAACACAATTTTTAAAATTTTTGTCCCCGTGTCTGTCTGTTTGTTTCAGCTAATCTCCGGAATGGCTGAACCGATTTTAACCGGACTTTCACTGGCAGATAGCTTATGTTATAATGATTAAATTAGGCTATTTTTTTTATAAATAATTAGAGTTCCGCTCAAAAAATTCAAAGTATCATAGTATTCACGGTCCAAAGTCTTTTGAATATAAGAGACCCTCTCATAGATTTCTCTACATCGGGGAGTGCTCTGAGGAATTGTTCGCATTAATTCCAGCCGCCAAATTTCACGAACGCACATCGCGTCGAAATTCACGATAGCATCTTCATCATCTGGATGCTTGGCGGTCCACCGCTGTGCGTTTTACTAGGAGTTTTTTTCCTCGTACAACTTCTCTGTGGAATTGTTTACCACCGGCAATTTTTCCGGACCGATACGACTTAGGGACCTTCAAGAACAGAGCCTTTCTAAAAGGCCGGCAACGCATCTGCAATTCCCCTTGTGTTGCGGTTGTTCATGAGCGGCGGTAGTCACTTACCATTACGTGAGCCGCATGCTCGTTTGCCACCCTCTTCTATATAAAAAAGGAGAATATTTGCTATAGTTTCGACGCTTCGCAGGCGGGTTGGTTGCCACAGCTTTTATTGAATTGTCATCAGAAAGATGTCACGGCTCTCTACATTACAGAAGCTTATGTTTAATGCTAATGGTTGCTGATTAAGCTATATTGTTAAATATTTATTTTCAGGTCACCTCCCATCCAATGCAGTATCCGGCTTTAGCTAACTTCGCTTTAGACGTCGAGTCGATTTCAGCGGAGTTCGCGGAGATACCGTCTGTGTCGGTGCGTCCCGAGGAAGTCCCTGCGGGCTGCGAGGATAAGAATCGCTACTCCAATGTTCTACCCCTGCCCGAAACCAGAGTACCACTGAGGAGGATCGGGAACGATCCCACCACTGAATACATCAATGCTAATTACGTCACGGTGAGTTTCACTAGAATGTTCTTATAGTTGTTGGTGTATCTGTATTTGTGTACATGTTTGTATACATTGAGCTGTGAAGGAGCCTATGGAATATTCATTCATACATCCATCCATTACAGCCTATTAAAGTCCACTGCTGGACATAGGCCTCCCCTATAGATTATCTCACAGGGGTTATTTGCCATAGTTGTAATGTTACTGTTGATTTCAAAATTTCACCTCTCAGTGCGTCATGTGCTCCTGGTAGATAACCTTATATACATCCATCCATTACAGCTTATTAAAGTCCACTGCTGGACATAGGCCTCCCCCATAGATTACCTCATAGGGGTATATTTGTTATTTTCCATAGTTGTAATGTTACTGTTGATTTGAAAATTTCACCTCTCAGTGCGTCATGTGCTCCTGGTAGATAACCTTTTATACATCCATCCATTACAGCCTATATTAAAGTCCACTGCTGAACCATAGGCCTCCCTCATAGATTGCCTTATAGGGCGATATTTGTCATAGTTGCCACGCTTGGCAACCGGGTTGGCAACAGCAGTTTTATTTTTATTTTTAGTCGTTATTAGGAAGACGCTGCTGCCCGTCTCCTGATTTGTTTCCGTCTGTCGCCTCTTACGTCACCCACGAGATTATATATAGTGGTGGATATTTTTACACCGCCAAAACACAGTAACACAGATTGTATTAATTCATGCAATTCTTATTTATTCACATGTGTTATAGTAAATATCATTAAATATTTAATTTTAAAAAATGTATTTCTCAGGGTCCTGGCAGCATACGCAACTATTATATACTCTGCCAAGCGCCGATGTCCAACACCGTGGTGGATTTCTGGCGCATGATCTGGGAGCAGAACTCCCGGGTCATTGTTATGCTCACGGAGTACATGGAAAATGGGGTGGTAAGTTTTAATAAATTATATGGACAACTGCTAAAATAAATCAAGCGATAGTTTGAAATATATAAGACAGTACTGGAGTACTTTTTTGTTTTGTCTATGCAGATGTAGATAATATCTGCATAGATAAAATAAAAAAACATGTGGGCAGTTCACACGCGGCAGAAGTGAAACTTCAGAAAACTAAACTTCGAGAGAATTAGATGAATGCGGAGTGTGTAAGGAGTAGAATAAAGTTTTTGTCTGTCTGTCTGTTTGTTCCGGCTAATCTCCGAAACGGCTGTACCGATTTTGACCGGACTTTCACTGGCAGATAGCTGATGTTATGAGAAGTAACTTAGGCTACTTCTATTTTAGAAAAATAATTAGGTTTCTTCTCTCTTTAGTTTCGTTTTATCATTCCATCGAGTCCCAAATCACAACGAATCTAAAGAAGATTTCACTTCTAAAAAAATTGGTGTGCGCGTGTTCGTAATTTTTCTCCTCCTCAATGACTTTTGCGTACTTTTGGGGTCCCCTGTTTAGTTCCTAGCTACAGTTGGATCCGGTAGGTGGCGCTTTTCTAGACATCCAGAAATCATCCGTGCGATGCCGTGCGAATTGCTATTATATATAATATATAAGAGTTTTTGATGTTGTTTCGATGTTCGTTAGTCACGCATGATCAACACCATCATCATTACAGCCTATCGAAGTCCACTGCTTAACATAGGGCTCCCGTTACATTGTTCCATAACGTATTTGCTAAAGTTGCCACGCTTGCCAGGTGAGTTGCCAACCGCAGTTTACTTTTTATTTTTTAAATGTTATTAGAAAAACGTTTCTGCCTATCTCCTAGTTCGTTTCTCTCTGTCGCCTCTAATAACACAGATAGGAAAGATATGTAGTAGTAAACTATGTTCTTACACCGCACCGCCACTACACGGTCATGAGGGAATCCACGACTTTTTCCGCCACCAGGGCGGCGCCACTAGAAAGTGAGATATAATATTTAACATATTTCCCGGTGTGGAAATTAATTTTTTCGGAAAATGTAAAGGTTGTGTATTGTTTCTTTCTGCACTATTAGCTATATTTTATATTAGTAAGGTTCAAAATAAATAAACCAAACCACAGATATTCATACAAGTAGAAAAATTAAAAAAGAAGTTAAAAATGTGCAAAAAAATTAAAGACTGTGTATTAATTTAATACTCTAGAAACTGATAAGCTTTTATTAAAAACCAACTTCACAATAAAATTACATTGTGTAACAAACAACTTTACCTCAGTGTCGACTAGCGACATCTGGTGAGCAGAAAATTATTAGCCCTCATTGGCACAAATATAGACCATTATTAAACAGTAATTAGTTTATTTTGTTTTTTTGTTTGTTTGTGTAAAGAGTATCTATTTTCATAATGATTTCTTATATTTACGATTACTATATAATAAATTAAACAAATTGTTACGGATTTTATCGCGTTTAATTTTAACTTTTTAATTCCCGACGTTTCGGGTGCTTTTCGGGGGTGACTAAAGTGTTTGACGTCCCGATGTCATCAGCCTTTAGTTTTTGAACATTAACTTTTGTTTCAATCTTCGCAGAATGATAGCTGTTTTTAAATAATACAAACAATCGGTAAAAGGAAATTGATAAAGGTAAAATGACGTCACAAGAACCGGAGTGCCGTTTTGCGTGTACTGGCAATGAGGCATTCCACCTTAGTCCTTATGGTTGACAACGCATGTGCATTTTGATTCATTTGCATTTTCATCTGTAATTACTCATATTACTACAAACATACCATTTCTTTCCATCAGGAGAAGTGCTACGAATACCTACCACCATCTGAGGTGTCGGACAACAAGAGGACCTTCGGGGACTACCAGATCATCCTAAAGAAGCGGGAGCAACGTGACAAGTACGCCATCTCCACCGTGCAGCTTATTAACACGAGCACCAGAAGTTGGCGGGAACTCACCCACCTCTGGTACTTCTGGCCGGCGAAAGGAGTCCCCGACGATTACGACTCTGTCATTGACTTCCTCTCGGAAATGAGGAGTTACATGAAGATCTCACAGACTGCCAAAGAATATGACGAGGAAGGTATGTGCTTTACTTATCAATTCCCCTTTTCAAGGTTCCGTAGTTACACAACAAGGAACCCTTATAGTTTCGCCATGTCTGTCCGTCCATCCGTCCACGGTTGTTACGGTCTGTTAATCACGCCTAGAAAAATGTGAAATAAAATCTTAAAAAACATTTTTATTTTGGATACCTACAAGTACACAATAAAGCTTAATACAAGCAAATGGGGGACGATTTTTTTTTACCCGGTCTATTCCATCATGCGTGGTATAATCTTTCAATAACATTAGGGGTGTAGAACAACATCTTTGCGATTCAGGGGTCCGTTTGCGAAACATTTAGCTTTAAATGCTATTTTTCATTAGTCATGTGTGCCGTCCCCCCTCTACCAACTAAACCGCTATTTTGGAAATGTGAAAAGCATAGAATTAGTGAAAAGTATACACGATAGTAATATCTATACATATAATAAAACTGTAAATAGCAGATGTCTGTACATTTTATATTTTTGTAATAAAAGTGATTGAGGGGTACTAAAAATAAGTAATTAAATACATTTCTACCATTTTTAGAATTTTCTGTCTGTCTGTCTGTCTGTCTGTCTGTCTGTTTGTTTGTTAACGTATCACGTATAAAGTACTAATTTATATCATAAGAATTGTTAAGGAAATTATAAAGTGTATCTTCGGGTTACATTTAGTCTTTATTTCATTAAAATCAGTTCATTCCATCAAAAGTTATGATAAATATTCTGAAGTATGGGTAGGTAAGTATAGGTACGAATTTGCTCAACGGTGGCTTTGTTTGAGTCATCAAGTGCATTTTAAACTAATATCATATCATAAATCATAGTTAAATTATGTAAAATAATGATATAATTATGTATATCTAAAACGCAGTAACCAAAAGTATTAAAGAACGTATTAAATATATTATACAAAAGTATATTAACCTTATTAACTAAATCTGAAGCACAATAGTTAACCCATTTCTTCGATAGATGGTGGTGTTGTGAAAATGTAATGCAATTGCAATGTGGGTTTTTCCAGTAGATGAGTTTTCATATTTACTGCTAATCTTTATTATATTACTCGCTGTCCTACTGCGTGTTGACAAACTCAATTTATTCTTTACCGCCGAGTACTCTATGTGGTAAATCAAATTTTAAAAGAGTTATTAACAATTGCGTCGGTTTTGGCGAGAGTCAAACTTTATTTTTTGCTTACTGTGCAGGCACTGATTTATAAGTTCTCTTGCGTTTTATATAATGTATCAATCGCGTCAATTAATCTCTTTTATTTTTAGAATTGATGTTAGCAGCGCCATCTCTCTTGAAATATATACATATAATAAAAATGATGATAACATGTTATGTCTCTTTCTGTACATTGTATATATATTTTGGTGGCTAAAATCATTATGGGGAACTGAAAATAATTAAATAAGAACATTTTATAATTTTTAGAATTGTCTGTCTGTCTATTTGTCTGTTATTATATGAACGCATCACGTCTAAAGTAAACATCTTTTATTTTCAAAGAAATCGTTAAGAAAATCATAAAGCGTATCTTCGAGTTACATTTAATCTTTGTTTTTTTAAAATTGGTTAATTCTATCGAAAGTAATGATTATTATTTTGAAATGTAGGTTCGAATTTGTTCAATGGCGCCATAAAATCTCTGAAATAGTAATAAAAACATTTGTGTGTAAAAAAAACGTTCCATAATAATTAATATACTTAAAACACAAAAAGAGATTTAAAAAGGATGTTTTCTCACACAAAGGACGTAATAGATGGAGTTGTACAAATTACAAACATTTCTGAATTGCTGTGTTGAGATTTTTCGCCGATGAATCGTATTGAGACTTATTGAAGAAATTTGTATCCATCGGAGCCATACAACGGAACCCGACCAAAAATAAAAATTTTGCAACGAAATGTCGTGATATTGTATTTATAATATACGCAAAATCAGTACTGCCATTTTAGCGCTTTATGAACTAGATTTAGCGCTTTTTAGGAATGTATAGCGCGCATTTCGAAATTTTAGCACCTAGCTTAATCCAGCGCTTTTTGATGTATTTAGCACACATTTCAATAATTTAGCGACTAGCGGGTTATTAACTCTTTTATAGCAGCACTGTTAGTCCACATTACCGATAACAATAATAATGACCTTTATTATTTTTTCCCACAAATAGTACATTGCAGTTTATCTTTTTCAAACATATTTTTTCCACAAAACAAAGAGCATGGGAGACGAGTCCAAACTAGGATACTCTGTGCTATGGATCTCCTGGCTTCCCCTTTAGGGTGATCAACTTGATTTTTTTACCGACGACTATAAGCGGGGAAATCTCCTTTATTAAAGTTTTCGTTCATGGTTTTGGCAACGCATTTATTTTGCTTTATTCAGTTTCAGTCAGTTGCTTAGAGTACAGCTAAGTTAAAAGTTACTTAGAAGTTATAACACAAAGAAACTGTGTAGCAACCGCAATCAGATGCTGACATCTGAAACTAAGTTGCGAAATACATTGCACTTTAAAACAATTAATGACATTTTTATTGTTCGTACAGTACTAACTACTGTTGACAGCAATTGCCATAATTATAAGTCGATGTCCTGCGAAGTATTGATACATCAAAAAAATATTGCCAGAAAAAAAAACTTTATGTTGTTTTCTTTATTATGATTATATAAAAAAACACAAACTTTGTTTGTAGTTAATTTAGCGCGAAATCTAGGGCTTTTTTAAAGCGCTGTTTTCATGAAATCTAGCGCTTTTTGTGTTGTCCTAGAGCTGAATGATTTTTTTTTTATCTGGCAGCACTGCCCAAAAACCCTCTATTAAGAAGTAACTTTCCTTTCAGTTTTAAGCGCGTTCAGTTCCCAGTTACAGTGAGCGTGTCTTATGCGATGACCGTAAATAAAGCGCAAGGTCAAACTTTACGCGTTGTAGGAGTGTACCTAAGTACTGACTGTTTTGCACATGGCCAACTCTATGTTGCTTTTTCCCGCGTTAGTAGCCCCCGTAACCTTTTTGTGTACACCCCGGCTAAGCCTACTTCTAACGTCGTTTACACAGAAGCTCTATCATAAACGACTTAGAACTTTGATGATAATGATTTATTTAGTTACCACTTATTGATACAATAATGAAATAAATCGTTTAATATTCTCTTACCTAAACGACAAATTCTTTATGTAAAACCTGTATACGCGAGCTACGCCGCGGGCACAGCTAGTATATAATAAAGATAAAATGAAAACTATCATAGCTAAGTAGAATTAAGAAGTTTACGAGTACCTAATAGTCGACCAACTTATAAAATGCACTTGGATTAGTAAAAATTCTTTACAACTCCATAGAAAATGACCTAACAAACTAGCTGCATTATAACTTTGCAATGTTATTGTAAACTGTTAAAACCAAACATTTTATTAAGGAAAAGACTTATATGCATTAATACTATTAGCTTTAATTTTTTCATTTGCGTGATAGACACGCTATTATTATCAAAATCGAAAAGATTTTTTAATCTTTTTTAATACCACTCCATAGAAGGCTGATTCGAAAATAAGCCTTTCGGTAACGATCGTCTACGGGCCCATTTTTAGTCGTTACAGCGGTCAAACCGCGAACTCATTATGCTTATTATCAAGGATGCCCACGTATTGTGACGCGCAACTACAGAACCCTACCTATACATTTTGCGTGGCTCGACACGCACTTGGCCATTTTTCGTGGTTATTTCGCTGTATTTTTTTTTTGACGGCGTAAGAGAATCGATCACCTGATTTCGTGACATGGGTGTCTACCTCGAAAGATTTAAGTCTTTTATTAACGACAGTGTAATTAACTTGTATTAATTGTTGATCTTTACCAGGCCTTGAAAGGTCACTGCTGATAATTGTATAGCCCTTCAGAAGCTCTTTAATTCTGTCCTCCATGGTGGCACTACTCCGGAGGCGTGGAGCAGAAGTGCGGTGGTCTTGTTCTTTAAGAAAGGCGACAATACTCTCTTGAAGAACTACAGACCGAATACCATTCTGAGCCGCGTCTACGTGCTGTTTTCGAGAGTCATTACGAATCGTTTCGGATGCAGACTCGACGTCTTTCAGCCTCCCGAACAATCCGGTTTCCGAAAAGACTTTACCGCCATAGACCACATATATACCCTTTGGAAAATTATACAGATAGACGTCCAAGGAGTACAATTTGCCACTATGTCTGGCGTATGTGGACTATGAGAAAGCCTTTGATTCCGTCGAAATTTAGGCGGTGCTGCAGTCCCTTCAGTGATGCCAAGTTGACTGTCGGTATAATGAAGAACAGAAGTGTTTGTACAGTAGTGTTCGATGGCTATCCGAGTACAGAACCAGAGTACGAAACATTTCCAACTGCAGAGAGGTGTAAGATAGGGTGACGTAATATCTCCGAAACTATTCACCGCTGCATTGGAAGACATTTTCAATCTACTGGGCTGTCATGGATACGGTATTAACATCAATGGCGAGTACATCACTCACCTTCGATTTGCCGACGATATAGTACTAATGGCAGAAACACTGGAGGACCTAAGCACTATGCTCAATGACCTCAATAGTGTCTCCCAACGGATAGGTTTTAAGATGAACATGGGCAAAACAAAAGTCATGAGTAACGTCCATATCACACCTATGTCGGTAGTTGTTGGGAGCACTAAGCTTGAAGTTGTTAACGAGTTTGTTTACCTGGGGCAAATAGTCCGACTAGGGTAAGTCCAACTTCGAGCGAGACGTCAATCGACGGATTCAACTCGGCTGAGCAGTATTAGAAACGTCTTCTCCTTAGACATACCTAAAAACCCCAAAGTAATATTGTACAACCAGTGGTGATCTATGGAGCTGAGACGTGGTGTTTCACTGCTGGCCGTATGAGTAAGCTCAAGCTCACACGGCGAGCTTTAAATAGGGTATACTCGGGGTTGCTCTGCGTGATAGACTTAAAAATGAGAATATCCGAAGTAGAACCAGAGTAACCGACATAGCCCAAAGAATTGGTAGGCTTAAGTGGCAATGGACTGAACCTGCAACCGATGGGGAAGAAAGGTTCTCGAGTGGCAGTCTCGCACCGGCTGGCGTAGTGTAGGGTGTACTACTTGGAGTGACGATCTGGTAAGACATGCAGGAAGCCGATGGATGCAAGTGACACGTGCTTTGTGGCATTCCTTGCGGGAGGCATAGAATCGAATAGAATAAAATCATTTTTACAGTACATAATACTTATTGAAAGTAATTTTTGTACTTTTACCACTGATTAGCAAAAAAACCTCTATCCTGCGAAGAACCAGCAAGAAACCCAGCGGGACTTTTTTAAAAAAGCACAATTTACAGTATAATAAGTATAATATAATAATTTAGTAGTATATAAGGACCACGCTCTCACAGAATATCAGCGTAAAATAGAAGCTTGATGCTGCTGTGTTTCTTATAGTGAGTGTAGAGAACCGGAGACCCTTTTTACTGGAAACGAGGTATTCCATCTTAGTCCTCACGGGTGACAACGCATCTGCCTTTTGATTCATAATCGAGGATAAATGTGGATGTCTATGGGCCACAGTAACCACTTACCATTAGGTGGACTGTGATAAGTTCTCGGGCTCGTTTGTCACCCTATCCTATAAAAAAATAACACTTACTAGACAATTTTTTCTTAATAAATAATTTAAACCTTTTGATAGATAAGGTCTGCATATTTTCAGCAGTGGACTTGTGAAGGGCTGTAGTAATGATGAAGTATTGATGAACTGAGGGGGTTATTTTTATGCCAATAAAATATGTATGATTCATAATCAAATCATTGCTCTCTATCTGAACAGATAGAGAGTAATGCGAAGAGGGATCTATTAGAGAGCTATATTTTATTTAAAAATATTACTTTAATAGATTCTAATGAAGCCGGGGTGAGTCGCTAGTTATAAATAGAAAAACAACAATAAAGTACTTTCAATTACTCTCAGGTGTGGAAGTGATCTACGGCGATCAGAGTAGATCGTCATACAATAACTTGTCGAAGCTTCGCAGCGATGACAACCCCTCTGGGAACGGGGTTAATGTTTACTCCCCAGCAAGGGCTGAGGAATTATTGAGGAGGGCTAATAACGGGACTCTAGGCAGAATGAAAGCTGCTTCGGATATTGAGGGTAAAAAACATTTTTTTATTAATTTTTTTATTAAAGAGTAATCGAAATGAAGAATAAATAAATAAAAATGGTGAAAATGATTAACTAACTAAATAATAAAATAGTTAATTTAAGAAAATGAATCATAAGAATCTTAAAGGGTCATTGAAATATGTGGTAATTCTGTGTTACTGTGTGAGAAAGATAGTAAGTTGTTTGTATGAGAGATATTAAGTTGTTTGTACAAGAGATAGTTTTTAAATAGATGTGGTCCTAAAATATTGCCTTAAGGGTGCGTTTGCAAATCGGGCCAAATTATGCTGTTTTTCGGTACATTTTGTGACAAAACTAAACCAAATCAAATATAACAACTTCAACTTATAGAATGGTTCTTTATCTTTAAATAACTTTTTTGTTGAAAATAGTAGTTTTTTACATTGTAAAAAGGATGTTCCCTAGCCATTTTCTATAAAATTAACGATACCGGCTCATGTTTCGGTACATTTTTTGTTCTATTATCAACATATATTAAGATTTCTAAAAATACTGTAAGTAGGCAGACATATTCAATAAAAAATGCTGGTGTTTACTTTTTATGAAAATGTCACAAATGGTCGTAAAAAAAATAAAAACTGATGGTTATTTTTTTGACATATTTTGCTGATACGGATGAATCCTGCTGGATTGCAATAAGGGTTATTTTATTTTTAGTGGCTGTTTTGATTTGTTGTACAAAAATTTCGATGAAATCATGAAACCACAGTCGGCGCTCGGCCGCCATCGCGGGTGGTCGCTGTATCGTCTGCAGCAGCTGAAAAAGATCTCTGTACAAACACAAAATATTCGAATTTGATACATAGGTACCTGACCTGACAAAGTAAAATAATACATAATATAAATATATTTTTATAATCACAAATTCTTATTATGTTTTGTTTCGCTAAAAGCAAGTGGGATTTATAATATATAAATATATATAAATCTTGTACGTCTTGGACTTTATGGAGTGATCTGGAAGTATACGGTGAATGCTACTAGAACTCCTCGACGAGTTGAACTAGGTGTGCCGACTTTGGGCTCATTATGTTAGTTATGACGAGACCTTACCTCCGGACTTAATGGAGAGACCTGATGGTGTACTACAGTTACTACTACTGGAACTCCTGGACGAGTAGAACTAGGTGCGCCGAGTTTAGGCTCGTTTAGTTAGTTATGATACAACGTAACCTCTGGACTCTAGAGAGACCCGATGGTGTACTTCTGTGACTACTACTGGAACTCCTGGACGACTAGAACTAGGTGTGCCGAGTTTGGGCTCGTTTTGTTAGTCATGACGAGACCTTACCTCCGCACTTGATGGAGAGACCTGATGGTCTACTTCAGTGACTACTACTGGGACTCCTGGACGAGTAGAACTAGGTGTGCCGAGTTTGGGCTCGTTTTGTTAGTTATGACGAGACCTTACCTCCAGACGACAAAATGACCTGATGGTGTACGTTGGTGACTACTACTGCAACTCCTGGACGAGTAGAACTAGGTGTGCCGAGTTTGGGCTTGTTTTGTTAGTTATGACGAGATCTTACCTCCGGACTTGATGAGAGACCTGATGGTGTACTTCAGTGACTACTACTGGGACTCCTGGACGAGTAGAACTAGGTGTGCCCAGTTTGGGCTCGTTTTGTTAGTTTTTTTTTATTTATTTTGGCAACAAACAGTCGTATACAAAAGAAAGTAAAATACAAACAACTTATCTCTTAAAAATTGACCTACAGTGCCGAAAAGTTAAACACAATTTAAAAAGAAAGTTACATGGTAACACTACATAGCTATTATTTACATAACAAAACGACTAAGTACAGAAGCATTAACAGAATATATAGGTATATAAACATATAAAAAAAAATTGCAACTCACTTGCAAACCTTACTTAAATTGGTTTTTAATGTTTGTTTTAAGGTATTGAGAGATGTGTTAAAAAGGTCGATATTAGTAAATTGTTTATTATATAAGTCAGTGCAACGGTATAAGAATGAGTTACGAGTATATCTTTTATGTAACCGCGGAGGAACAAAAAGTGGCATTTTACGTGAGGATCGCACTGGAAGACGAGCACGAGCAATAAATGATACCTTTGAGAGAAGTAGAGAAGAGTCAATTAAATTATTCAAAATTTTATATAGAAATATTACATCAAATAATTTTCGTCTATTACAAAGGGATAACAATTTATACCTAAGCAAAGATTCATCATATGATTCGTTAGTAATGTTATTACGATAGTTAAGAGACCTTAGGAATATCTTTTGTACTCTTTCAATTCTATTCTTATGTATATGATAACAGGGACTCCATACAATACTACAAAAATCTAAGATTGACTGAACAATGACGAGACCTTACCTCCGTAATTGATGGAGAGACCTAATGGTCTACTTCAGTGATTACTAGTGGGACTCCTGGACGAGTACAACTAGGTGTGCCAAGTTTGGGCTCGTTTTGTTAATCATGACGAGACCTTAGCTATGCACTTGATGGAGAGCCCTGATGGTGTACTTCAGTGACTACTTCTGGAACTCCTAGACGAGTAGAACTAGGTGTGCCGAGTTTGGGCTCGTTTTGTTAGTCATGACGAGAACTTACCTCCGCACTTGGTGGAGAGCCCTGGTGGTGTACTTCAGTGAATACTTCTGACGAAGTACGAAGTACACCATCAGGTTTATCATCAAGTTCGGAGGTAAGGTCTCGTCATAATTAACAAAACGAGCCCAAACTCGGCACACCTAGTTCTACTCGTCCAGGAGTTCCAGTAGTAGTCACTAAATTACACCATCAGATCTCTCCATCAAGTCCGGAGGTATGGTTTCGTCATAACTAACAAAACGAGCCCAAACTCGGCACACCTAGTTCTACTCGTCCAGGAGTTACAGAAGTATTCACTGAAGTACACCACCAGGGCTCTCCATCAAGTGCGGAGGTAAGGTCTCGTCATGACTAACAAAACGAGCCCAAACTCGGCACACCTAGTTCTACTCGTCCAGGAGTTCCAGAAGTAGTCACTGAAGTACACCATCAGGGCTCTCCATCAAGTGCATAGGTAAGGTCTCGTCATAACTAACAAAACGAGCCCAAACTCAGCACACCTAGTTCTACTCGTCTAGGAGTTCCAGTAGTCACCGAAGTACACCATCAGGTCACTCTATCAAGTCCGGAGGTAAGGTCTCATCATAACTAACATAATGAGCCCAAACTCGGCACACATGGTACTACTCGTCCCGGACTTCCAGTAGCAGTCACCCAAGTATACCTTCAAGTCACTTCAACAAGTTCGGAGCTGAAGTTATCATAACTAACAAAACCAGGCCAAAGTCCTCAGCCAACATCTCACTCCCAGTAGAGGGCTTCTAGTGCCTAGCTGTCTTTGGAGTAGCCATTTATATTTCGTATCTAAGTATATTTTTGTAGGTATAAGAAATATGAAAAAAAAAAACAATCTTTCAAATTATCAAAATGTTTATACTTGATTGCGATTCCCGCAGCTAACCGTGCGTACACTTGTGTGTGTGTCCCGTGTCAATGTAATAGTTCGATTTTATACCTATCAATTTTGGAAACGCGTCCTTAAGAGACACATTATTGTGATAGATATTACCGTTGACTTTCCGAGAAATAACTGCGAAGAATTTTCAAAAATAACAGTAAATTTAAAAAGCCTATGCAGTAACAAAAGTTTTGTAAAATAGGAAGTAAAGAATAAGGTAAGAGGTATTTTATCTGTATTGTACGCAGTGTAGTCGCAGTGTACGAATATAGGCAGAGGCGAACAAACTTTAACATACTACAAAATAAGAAATTGTCAACTCAGTTGCCAATCGTGGCAACTATAGGAAGTATCCCCCTTATGTGACGATGATGATTAGGAAGACGCTGTTGCCCGTCTCTTAGTTTGTTTCCTTCTGCCGCCTCTTACGACACCCATGGGATGATATGCGGTAGTGGATATTCTTACATCTCCACTACACGCTGACTTTATAAAGAAATATCTGAATGCTACTTTACTTTTTTGTTGTGATGGAGATGCTTCGGAACAGAGTGTTAAAGCGGTGGGTTGTATTACAGGCGTGCGGCCGTGCGTGTGTGTGTGTGCGACAGGCGCGGGGAGGTCGGCAGCTCTCGTGGCACTGGACGCTTGCGCGCGGGCGCTGGCAGCCGGCGCGGCCGACGTGCCGCGCGCCGTGCGCGAGCTGCGCGCCCAGCGCCCGCACGCGCTCGCCAACCGCCACCACTACATCTTCCTCTACAAGGTGAGTCACTGCGCCACCACTACATCTTGCAGCCGGCGCGGCCGACGTGCCGCGCGCCGTGCGCGAGCTGCGCGCCCAGCGCCCGCACGCGCTCGCCAACCGCCACCACTACATCTTCCTCTACAAGGTGAGTCACTGCGCCACCACTACATCTTGCAGCCGGCGCGGCCGACGTGCCGCGCGCCGTGCGCGAGCTGCGCGCCCAGCGCCCGCACGCGCTCGCCAACCGCCACCACTACATCTTCCTCTACAAGGTGAGTCACTGCGCCACCACTACATCTTGCAGCCGGCGCGGCCGACGTGCCGCGCGCCGTGCGCGAGCTGCGCGCCCAGCGCCCGCACGCGCTCGCCAACCGCCACCACTACATCTTCCTCTACCAGGTGAGTCACTGCGCCACCACTACATCTTGCAGCCGGCGCCGACAAGATCCGAAGAAACCGACAGATCACACTGACTGATAGCGTGTATATGTTACGACTAAAAGCCAAAGCGAGGTTATAACTAGATTTAACCGGCTAGAACTAGGTGCGCCTAGCAGTAGTTGATTAACGGAAGCGTCAGTAGCCTATTAGCAAGGCACGGCCCGCGAACTCGAAAGGTCGTGGGTTCGAATCCGCCATTCGACTACTGTCGTGAACCACTTCTAGCACACGCATTTTAAGCTTACCAGAAGTGGTTAAAGGGAATATTAGTAATGTTTAATAGTATTACCAGTATTTTAATTTACATAAAAAAAAATTAGGTGTACTGTTAAATTTGTAAAAATACAGAAATAAGTATCAAGTAACAACCGCAGACATTTATCTAATTTATAAATGATGTATGATATACCAACCGCAATCAACTGCACCTTGTATTAGCTGACTACACCTACGTCTCTTTTTTTTTACATGGGGAAATGCCTACGCATACCCGCCTCGCGAGGGCAAGGACGAGTTATGTCGGACTCGCACCGACTAAAACCCCATGATGTTCCACCCTCGTCGCATATTAGCAGGGCCACGGGAACGCTTTCGCACACATCCGCGGCCCCACCTGCGCTGGCTGTCCCATGGCGGCCCCTCCTCGGGAGAGGACTACTCCTCCCCCATCTCCCTCTCAGGTAGAGCGCACCAGAACACATGGAGCGCCCTCCTCCTCGGCCTCTAATTTCACATGCGCAACGGACGCCCCAGTGTCCGATGCGCGAAGGCCATGGGGCCAGGAAAAACTAGCACTCAGAAGCACCAGCCTTCCTGACCCCAGCGGCGGATCTGGTCTATGACTCCGCCACCAACCAAGATTCGGCTGCGGAGGGTAGGGAGAGCGGCGCCTCGCAATACCGACATTCCTCTCCCCCCACCACCACCGCATCAACGGTGCGGCCCCGTTTGAGTCGCGGAGGATAGGGCGAGTGGCGCATCGCCATACCAACACTCCTTTTCCTCCGCGACTCCACCTCGGCTGCAGCGGTAGAGGGAGCGGACACCCCTCCCACCGCAGCCCACCGACACACATCCGAAGTGGGCTCGCCAAGCCCACTCGGAGTGGCCACCTCGGGCCGGCCCTACACCACGGGCCAGCCAAGGGGTTCCTCTTTGTTCACCGTGGGTGACCAAGCCACGGTTACTAAGCTCCCCCGCCACGACAAGGCGGGAACCCGTTTGGGGGAGGGGGGGCTACACCTAGGTCTATCCGCACTTCGGCTATTATCCGTAACATATACACCACAAATTTTAAAAATTCTGGAGCTGCTTCCATTACCATTAGCTCAGCGGTTATAAACCCAGCAGATTGCGTGTTCCCAGCTCGGTTAATAAGGACAGTAACTGTTAAGTTATATACTAGTTAGCAGTTGGCACAATACTCAAAATACTGGAGGGAGCTAACAAGAGAAAGAAAACAAAAAATGATGTAATATAATCTACAATTTGAAATTAAACAAGTACTGTAATTAGTTTTTTCCTGTTTTTCAGGTACTCAGTGAATATGGTAACAAATTAATGGGAGTTGGAGTGGACACCATCTGATTACCAGTACATATAGATTTATAATTTTATTCGTCTGTGTCTGTTTCGTTTATATCTCTCTATACTTGTAAAATGGTTAAACATAAAATTATGCTTTATGAAATCATAAAATTTTATACATTTTATTAAAATTGTACAAGAATTGTAGTTTATAATTTTTAAGATACAATATGGTTCATATTTAAAGAATGAAAGTCCAACTATGCAAGAATATTACGGTTTGTAAACGTTTACACATTTTTATAGTGAAATTTTGAAAGAATACTTTAAAAAAAAAGTCTTATACCTAAGCTAATAGTATGAGTCTATAATATGCAATTAATAAAGATAACCTTGAAATGCGATAGAAACAAGACACCATTTCAAAATGTAATTTTTATGTGTAAGAAAAATTCAAAACCAAAAATAATGTAATGCTGACTCTACGAGATCGTCCAACCGTTCAACTTCAAACATTCGCTTGAACCCGAGCAAATCCGTGCAAACCATATGAACGTCCCGAAAAGTGAATCTAAAGCAAAATAACTAAGTGAGTGAAAACGTAGATAGCGATGAATATAAAATTATTAATAAGCCAGTTCGTGCAAGTTGATGACCTGAGCAAGCTCAGTCTTCGGACATGCGCAAGCTAATCATGCATTGAGTGTAAAGATACCATTGAACTGCTAGACTAGTCGTGCAGAGTAGGCATTACTGTTATCATTGACTTTTATAACAAACACTTTACGTTTTATAATTTAATTGATTGCGTGAAAGCGCAAGCAATTAAAGGCTAAGAATTGTATATGAAAATGAAATTTTTAACTTTGTAAGATCTTTTTCGAAATGTTTTTGATTCCATTTGGTGATGCTTTACTTTTTAAACAATAAAACGTTTCAAATTTTTTACTTTTATATTTATGGATTTTTTCTTAACGCCTACAATATGAAAATTATAAAAGTTATAACTTTCGGAGTATTTTGTGTTTAAAAAATAAAATTCAAAGCTTTAAAATTGTACAAAGTTCATTAACACATCATAATATATTCGGTACTTTGTTGATTTATAAATGCAAATCAATGCAATGTTAACATTGAAATAAAATTATATTTAAAAATTATTGGTAAGGTTTACGAAATTCAAGAAACAATGAGTGCTAATTAGTACATCTTGTAAATTTCATATCAACACAAACAAACAAAATAAAATCACAATGTATTTTGTGTTTATTTTTATAATATTCTAATAACATGAAATAACAATTTTTTTAAGATTTTTTTAGTTGCGTATACTTTGTTAATGACAATGACAATGACAAATTTCGGATTTACCAAAGTGCGTTAGATCTCCAACTAATTTGATCGCTCAAAACAATTCCTATTCTTATTTTATATACATAGATTTTAGGTTGAATTAACGCCTAATTTGATAATCCTGTTGCAAGAATTTCAGTATTCGTAAGATTGAGCAATACATTGTAAAATAACCGATTATTTAGTTTAGGTGTATCAACATATACTGTTTTCTATATCAGATATTACTCAGTATAATATAGTTTACTTGTAAATAAGATTAATTAATTATAAGGGTAAATGCAATTCGAACAATTATATTTATTACATTACGAATACCACTAGTCTATCGCGTGCTGCGTTTGTCTTACCAAAAACGAATCAGCTGTTTCATTCTTAACAATTGTACAGCGTTTTTAAATGTTCAGCTATTGGTGTTATAAAAATATTTTAGTGATACATATATAGATCTGCTGTGATTTCTACTAATCTAATTCTAAGTTCTATTATTTAAGCATTAACCAGAGATAGTTAAGATTATTTTAATTTTACTGTTGTGTAAATTTAACTTAGATTTTGGTCGAAATACTCTATAAAGTTTATTCTTTATTATTAAAAAAAAAATAAGGTCCTTTAATAATTTGTTTATGACTATATTTTGTTATAATTTGTGCATAAGTATAATGTTTATACATATATTCTTAAAATGAAGCATTTATTCAAATGACATAGTACATAATATGTATGCTTTTTATGAAGTGAAAACGATTAATATATTTTTATTGTATGAAAAGTTTGTACTATGTTTTTAACCAAAAATATTTTTAAATGATTACAATTAAGATTTGCCCTACGATTAGTTTGTAATTTATTTTAAGAATTTGAATAATCATAATAAACACTGTTGAAATCTAAAGTACTTTATTCAAAAATAAAAGGATTAAATATATTATTAATGTGTTTCTTGTCTTTCCTTTATTCGTATTGCTCTTCGATAGATATTTCTGATTCATCATCGGCGTCTACAGCTTCATCTTCAACCACTTCTAATTGCATTTCATCATAATCAATTAGATCTAATGTTTTCTTATTACCTTCAGGTATCGGTTGAATGCTTTCATCAATTTCTCTTTTATCAAAATCATCTAATACGTTTTCACCGATAACACTTTCTTTATCAGATAAATCCATTTGTACACGCTTTTTTGATGGTTCTTTATTAAAGATTTGATTATCACTGCATCCTTGGTCATAAGATATAAGGAAGTGCTCTTTTTCCAATCCAGTGTCAATAGAGTGATCTTTTGTTTTAGGAAATGATGCAAACGAATTGGGTAGAGAAGTCTTTGTGTCTGAAAAAGGTCAGTTTATTTTCTACACAATTTAGTTTAAGAAGAGGAACAAAAGAGGTACGAAACTTGGCGTACTCTAGTGATTGACGGACAAGACTCTGGTGACTAATAGGTGGTGGATAACCTATCCCAAACAGTGCACAACAATTTCACAAATTGTGCTTTGGTCCAGCAGTGAACCTGAGAAGACAGGCGAATTATTATACTTACGCTATATAAATATATATTTGTTTAATTTCAATGCATTTAAATTATAGTAACAACGTTAATGCATTTAAATTATAGTGCCGTGTAGTGGCGGTTAAGAATATCCACTACCCCATATCTTCCCGTGGGTGTCGTAAAAGGCGACAAAGGGAAACAGGCAGAAGACGGGAAGCAGCATCTTCCTGATAACAGCAAAAATACAATAAAAAAACTGCGGTTGACAACCCGCTCGCCAAGCGTGGCGTGGAGCCCCCGGCGGCTCCGCTATTCCTGGATACGGTGGCTACCATGGTAACGGCGGGGCAGGGGGTGCTAAGAATCTCCGGTGAAAGTTCGGTTGCCACCTACGACGACTCGACCTGGCAACATACAACGCACGCACCCTGAGGACTGACGAGAAGATTGTGGAGCTGGAAGAAGAGATAGACAAGTTACGCTGGCATATTATAGGATTATCCGAAGTCCGAAGAGAGGGGGAGAAAACGGTAATCCTCGAATCCGGAAACTTGCTCTATTATCGGGAGGGCGACCATCTGTCCCAAGGAGGTGTCGGATTTATCGTCCACAAGTCTCTCGTTAACAAAGTTGTAAAGATTGGGAGTGTGGCGACGAGGGTTGCTTACCTTATACTCAGAATCACCAAACGGTATTCGCTGAAGGTCATACAGGTTTACGCACCAACCTCGGCACACCCCGATGAGGAGGTGAAGGAAATGTATGAGGATATCTCTAGAGCCATGCATTCCTCCAAAACCCAATATACGGTGTTAATGGGAGACTTCAATGTAAAACTAGGCACAAGAGAGAATGGTGAGCTGAAAGTAGGAAAATTTGGAATAGGGAAACGGAACCCAAGGCGCAGCAGCTGGCCGACTTCATGGAGAAAGAGGGACTCTTTATGACGAACTCTTTCTTCCAAAAGCGGCCCCACAGGAAAGTGGATCTGGTCGAGCCCCGACGGTTCGACAAGAAATGAGATTGACTTCATTATGACGACCAGACGACAACTGTTCAGTGATGCCTCAGTGATCGCGAGGGTGAAAACTGATAGCGATCAGCGATTGGTTAGAGGCACACTAAATCTAGACGTTAAGTTGGAGAGGTCTCGTCTAATGAAGTCAACGCTCCGTCCCACTCGTGCTCTGTTCCAAAGTCCCGAAACCTTTCAGCTCAAGTTACAAAACCGTTTTCAGTGCCTAGAAGACTGCAATAAAGTGGACGATATGAATGACAAGCTCGTGGAAACTGTCCATGCGGTCGGAGCTAAGTTCTGCAAGACCCGCCGCAGAAGAACACAAAAACTCTCCGCTCACACTCTTAATCTCATAGTTGTTAGACGGGAGATGAAGCTACATTCTTCAACAGATTTGACAGCATACAGGCAACTGAACAGACAGATCTCCAAATGCATGCGGCGGGAGTTACGCAACTTCAATACAGCTCGTATTGAAGAAGCGATCGAGCGGAACCAAGGCTCCAAAGTTTTTGCCAGAGATCTGTCTGCCAGAAAGAGCCAACTGTCAAAGCTGACGAAAGAATGTAGCAGCATCGTTTCCGGGGCACCTGAGATTTTGAGTGAGATTGAGAGGTTCTATGGGTAGCTGTACACATCATCGTTGGAGCCACACGCAAGTGTGAGTAACGATCCAAGAGCGAGTCTTATCCGACATTATTTCTATGATATCCCGGACGTCAGTCCCTTACCTTCTGCAAATTGTACAGAAGTCCGAGGAGTACAATTTGCCACTATGTCTGGCGTAGGTGGACTATGAGAAAGCCTTTGATTCCGTCGAAATTTGGGCGGTGCTGCAGTCCCTTCAGCGGTGCCAAGTTGACTGTCGGTATATCGAAGTCCGGAAGTGCTTGTACAGTAGGGCTACTATGGCTATCCGAGTACAGAACCAGAGTACAAAACCTATCCAATTGCAGAGAGGTGTAAGACAGGGTGACGTCATATCCCCGAAATTCTTCACCGCAGCATTGGAAGACGTTTTCAAGCTTCTGGACTGGAAAGGATACGGTATCAACATCAATGGCGAGTACATCACTCACCTTCGATTTGCCGACGATATAGTCCTTATGGCAGAATCGCTGGAGGACCTAAGCACTATGCTCAATGACCTCAATAGTGTCTCGAAGCTCGAAGTTGTTGACGAGTATGTTTACCTG